GCTTATATTTAGGTTTTCCATTTTTTAAAAAGATTTTACTTATTTATTTGAGAGAGAGAGAGAGTGTGAACCGGGGGGAGGAACGGGGGTGGGGGAAGAGGAAAGGGGAAAGAATCTCCAGCAGACTCCATGCTGAGAACAGAACCCCACATGGGGCTCGATCCCACAACCCTGAGATCATGACCTGAGCCGAAACCAAGAGTTGAACACTGAACCGACGGAGCCACCCAGGTGCCCCTAGGTTTTCCATTTATTTTGAGTTAATTATTGTGTGTGGTGTCGGGTGAGACAAAGATCCAGTGTCATTCTTTTGCATGTGGATGTCCAGTTGTCCTAGCACTTTTGCTGGACTCTTCTTTCTCCATCGCATGATTTTAGCATCTTTGTTAAAAATCAAATGACCACAGATGTATGTGTTTATTTCTGGAATCTCAGTACTAGTTCATTGATATGTGACCTAGACATGATATGTCTACCCTTATGCTAGTACCACACTGTTTTGATTACTGTGCCTTTGTAGTAGTTTAGAAATCAGGAACTTTGAATCCTCCCACTTTATTTTTCCTTTTCAAAATTATTTCAAGGTCCCCTGTGATTTTATATGCATTTTAGGATCGCTTTTTCCATTTCCGTCAAAAAAGGCCTTTGGGATTTGGACAGGGATGCATTGATTCTGTAGACCACTTCAGGGAGTTTTACAATCTTAGTGATCTTGAGCCTTCCAATCCACAAATGCAAGATGTCTTTCTATTAATTTTGTTTTCTTTAATTTCTTTCCACAATGTCATTTTCAGAGTTTAAACTTTGCTAAATTTATTCCTAAGTGTATTATTTGTCCATTTCATCTATGTTGCCTAATTTGTTTGTGTACAGTTATTCATAGTATTCTCCCTTTTAATCATTTTTATTTCTTTTTTTTTTTTAAAGATTTTATTTATTTATTTGAGAGGGAGAGAATGAGAGATAGCACGAGAGGGAAGAGGGTCAGAGGGAGAAGCAGACTCCCCGCTGAGCAGGGAGCCCGATGCGGGACTCGATCCCGGGACTCCAGGATCACGACCTGAGCCGAAGGCAGTTGCTTAACCAACTGAGCCACCCAGGCGCCCCATTTTTATTTCTAAGGTTGATAGTAATGTCTGCACTTTCATTTCCGATTTTAGTAATATGAGTTCCTCTCTCTTTTTCTTGGTCAGTCTAGTTTGGTTTGTCAACTTTGTTGGTCTTTTCAAAGAACCAACTTTTGGCTTTGTTGACTATCTATTATTTTTTCTATTCTCTTCTTCTTTTGTTTCCCCTCTGATCTTTATTATTTGCTTCCTTTTGCAAGCCTCGAGTTTAGTTTGCTTTTCTTTTTCTAGTTCCTTACAGTATAAAGTTAGGTTACTGATTTAATTTCTTTTTTTAACATAGGCTCAATAATACTCCATTTTATGGCTATGTTACGTTTTATTTATCCACTCAGTAGTTGATGGACATTTGCGAGCTATAAGTTTTCCTGGGAGCACTGTTTTCATTGCATCCCATATGTTTCGGTATGTTGTGTTTGTTTGCACTTTCCTCTAAGTATTTTTTTTTTTAAGATTTTGTTTATTTGTCAGAGAGAGACAGAGACAGAGCACAAGCAGGGGAAGCAGCAGGCAGAGGGAGAAGCAGGCTTCCCTCTGAGCAAGGAGCCCAATGCAGGACTCGATACCAGGACTCTGGGATCATGAACTGAGCCATCCAGGAGTCCCAAGTATTTTTTAATTTCTCTTATGATTTCTTCCTTGATCTGTTGGTTGTTTAAGAGTTTGTTGTCTAAAAAAAAAAAAAAGAGTTTGTTGTCTTATTTCTACATATTTGTGAAATTCCCAGTTTTCCTCTTTTTTTTTTATGTCTCGTTTCTATTGTGATCAAGAAAGATACTTTATAAAGGATTTCCATCTTCTTAAACTTATTGAGACTTGTTTTGTGGCCTAACATATGATCTATCCTGAAGAAAGTTCTATGTGTACTTTCAAAGAATGTACACTCTTTGCGAAGAGTGAAGAGTTCTGTAGATGCCTGTTATGTGTAGTTGGTTCATGGTGTTGTTGAAGTCCTCTGTTTTCTTTTGATCTTCTGTCTGGTTACATTATTGAAAGTAGGATAATGAATTCTTCAACTATCAGTTTATAACTCTTTCCCCCTTCAGCTCTGCCAAAGCTCTCTTTTGAGGTACATGAATGTTTATAACTATTATGCCTTCTTGGTGAATGAGTCTTATATCAATATGTGGTGGCTTGCTTTGTCCCATTGTAATTTTTGACTGAAAATCTGTTTTGTCTGGCGTTGGGATAGCTACTTCAGCTCTCTTTGGATTTCTTTGTTCATGGAGTATCTTTTCCATCCTTTCACTTTCAGCCTATCTGGTTATAAAGTGAGTTTCTTGCAGATAGCCTATAGTCAGATGTTTTTTCATCTATTTTGCCAAGATCTACCTTTTGATTTGAGAGTTCAGTCCACTTACATTTACACTAATTACTGATAAGAAAATATTTCTGCCATTTTGCTATTTTGTTTCCTATATACCTTGTATCTTTTTTGTTCCTTAGTTTCTCTATTGCTGTCTTCTTTTGTGTTTAATTGGGGGTTTTTTGTACTGTATCGTTTTGATTCCTTCTTCATTTCCTTTTCTCTATATTTGCAAGTTATTTTTTTAGTGGTTACCCTGGAGATTATAATTTATATTTTAAAGTTATAACTAGTTTAAATTAGCTTCAAAAGTATAAAAAAAACCCTGCTCCTGTACAATTCTATCCCTCCCCTTTATGTTTCTGTTGTCACAAATTACATCTTTTAACATTGTGTGTTCATTAACCTAGATGTATAATTGTTATTTTATGCATTTGACTTTTAAATCACATGGGGGAAAAAGAGTTATAAACCAAAAATATAGTAGTACTTGCCTTTTTTATTTGTGTATAAATATCACATAGTTCACAGTCTAGTTCAGGTTAATACCAACTTAATTTCAATAAGATACAAAACTTTACACCTCTATAGCTCTATTCCCACCCCTCCTTTGTCCTGTTGTTGTCATGCAAATTGTATCTTTAGACACTGGGCCCTCATCAAGACAGGTGTGTAATTATTGCTTTATCCAGTTGTCTTTTAAATCAGGAGAAAAAGAGATACAAGTAAAAACAACATTTATACTTTTATGTATATCCATGTTGTTACCTTTATCACTGTTCTTTTCTCTTCATATGGATTCAAGTTACTTTCTAATATCCTTTCACTTCAGCCTAAAGAATTACTTTAGTCTTTCTGGCAGAACAGATTTGTTAGAAACAAATTTTCTCAGTTTTTGTTTATCTGGGAATATCTCATCTTCTCCTTTTTTGGAGGATAGTTTTACTGGATACAGCATTCTTGGTCCCCAGTCTTTTCTTTGTGCACTTTGACTATTTCATCTCACTGCCTGCTGATCTCTGGGGTTGATGAGAAATCACCTGTTAATCTTATTGAGACTTCCTTGTAGGTGATGAATCACTTTTCTCTTCATGCTTTTAAGATTCTCACATTGGTTTTTAACAGTTTGAGTATGATGTATTTAGGTGTGGATCTCCTTGAATTTTTCCTACTTGGAGTTTTCTGAGCTTCTTGGAAGTGCAATATTCTTTCTGTCCCCCTCCACCCCCGCCATCTCTATCTCCATCTCTCTCTCAACTCCTGGAACTCCTATTATGCATATATTGGTGTACTTAATTGTGTCATACTGGTTTTTGTGGCTCTGTTCATCTTATTCTTTTTTCCTTTTGTGCCTCAGAATTGACTTGTCTCAATTAACCTCTATAAAAGTTCACTGATTCTCTCTTCTGCTAGCCTGCATCTGGTGTTGAAGCCTTCTGCTTAGTTTTTCATTTCAGTTTTTGTACTTTTCAACTCCAGAATTTCTGTCTGGTTCCTTTTTATAATTTTTAAAATCTTTATTGATAGTCCCTGTTTGATGAGACCTCATTCTCTTCTGGTTTCTTTTAGTTCTTTGTTCACCATTTCTTTTAGTTCTTAGAGCATATTTGAGACAGTCGATGTAAAGTTTTCGTCTAGTAAAGTCCAATGCCTGGGCTTCCTCAGGGACAGGTTATTTCTTTCCTTTTTTGTCTATGAATGAACCATACTTTGTTGTTTCTTTGCATGCCTTGTAATTTTTGTTGAAAATTGTTCATCTTGAATATTATAATGCAGTAACCCTGGAAATAGGACTACCCCCCCATCTGAATGTGCTGTTGCTGGTTGTGATTTGTAGTTAATTGTTTAATGACTTTTCTAAACTATTTTTATAAAGACATTACTAATTTGTTGTGTGTGGTCACTGAAGTCACTCTTCCTTAAGCTTAGTGGTTAACTGGTAAGTAGTTAGAAAATTCCTTAAATCCCACCACCGCCACCACAATAAAACTCTTCTGGTCTTTGCAGATTGGTTCTGTGATGGCGTACTCCCTCAAAGCTTAGGCAGGCCTTACTTAGGCAATTCTGCCTTCGCCTTCACTTCCTGCTTATGTGGAGCCTAATGATCAGCCAGAGGTTAACACTTACCATCTTCTGGGGTCTTTCCTAAACATGCATTAGCCCTGGGCATGCATGTGGCCTTCTGGACTCTGGTTTATGTGGGAGCTTTTTAAAATCTTTATTCCTCTGCGTATCTTCTTCCTCAGCCTCTTCCTTGTCAGGCCGTTCAGACTCCCTGCTGCTTGCCTCACCTGTTATCCCTGCCCCAGGTGGTTGTGGCTGGTAGACTTGCCTTTAAATGCTTTCAACAAATGCTGCCCGGGAGGCCACTTCAGCCCTGAGAAAGTTCCAAGTGAGAGAAAACAAAGGTAAGACCCTGAGTTGATCCCTCAGGGAGCCAGGTTACAGGTCAAAACATACAACCACAATTCTTTGAGAACGAAGTTTATATTACCCTCTCTGTCACCAGCAAAGCCACACCAGGAACACAGCCTCCACACCAACTGCCTCTTAACTGGGGGTGGGGGATGAAAGTCGGGTAAGTTCAAAATCCAGAACACAACTGTACTGAAATTCAGCAGCTTCTTTCTTCATTAAGCCTTTCCCTGCTTGTTAGTTTCTTGTTAAATTCCAGAGTTCTGTAAGTGTTGGTTCTGACAGGTTTTGTCAGCTTAATTACTGCTTTTGTGGAGGGACAGGTTTCTGGGATTCCCTAATCCCAGGTATAAACATTTTGCAGTTATTTTTATGTTGATAGCATGCTCTCTAAAACGAATAAGCCATTTTAGAGTACCAACAGCAATGTATTTCCTCACAGCCGTGTCAACATTTGTTATAAATTTTTAATTTTTTAATGATTTCATTATGATTAAAGAATACTTCATAGGCATATTGATTTGAATGTCTTCCATTTTGGTTGGGTTTGAACCCTTGTTGAGTTAGTGTTTGTGTTTTTTGTAAATGGTTGTTTCCTTTGGTCAGTAGCCCATTCAGATATCAGCCTTTCATGTACATTTCAGTTTATCTGATCCTCAGCCTGAAATGACGAGAGATGTCTGTGTGTGAGGCATAATCCATCTCAGCTATAGACGGACAGCTCCTGACGCTTGCTGGAGAAAGCTTGTTGGGCCAGCCCTGGGTATCTTTAAATCATTCATTCATTCAACAGAAATGCACCAAGCCCTCCTGTGTGCCAGGTCTGTGCTGATTCTGGGGAAATGACAGGGACTAGAGAGCCCTGGCCTACCCCTTGTGAGCAAACAGTTTTTATAGGGGTGACACCGAGCAAACAAGACGTGCAGAATGTCATCTCAGAGCACATCTTTTCTGTTGAGCTGTACTAGTTTTGATTTTATAAAAGTTTAAAAAAAAAAAAAAGATGTCCATACACTTGCCTATCACATCCTTCAAATGAGAGGTGACAGTTAGCCCCTTTTACCTCAGCAACTTGATCTTCATGGTGCATGGGCTTGGCCCTTAGGGTAGAGCTGGAGGGGGATTTCCCTCCTGGGACCAGTGGGCCCAGGCCCTCTTCCATAGGGAACCTAGAACTTCAGAGCATTTAGCTTTCTTCTGGAGGCTCACGTCACCTGACAGACAGTTCCTTCCAGGACAGAAAGTCCAGCGGTTTGCAGATGGCCGGGCCTGAGAAGACTGCGTCAGCCCTTCCTCAGAACGAAGGTAGGTGTCTCTCACCTGCCCAGGTAGAGCTGTTCTGAGGCCTGAGGCCATGAGGGAGTGAACAACCCACGGTTGAGGGATTCCCCTCGCATTCTGCCCACATCAGTCCGGAGCTGCCCCCTCTCCTCACCCAGCATGGCACAGTGGCCAGGATGGTGGTGGATGAGTGAGGGTACCACAATACTCTGTCCTGTCCATAGCGGTCCAGGAAGCTGAAGTGTTGCCCCTCCTGTCGCCCAGCCTGAAGGGCAGCTGCTTCGACCATCCCCCGCACCGGGGGCTCCTCCACCCCACCCGGCGCTGCAGCAGTCCTACCTCGGCTCCAACTCCTAAATTGTCGAAGAAGCCCAAGGTGGATGCAGCCAGGGACATGTTCCCCACTGACTGGAGCCCACCACCTGTAGAGTTCCTGAACCTGAGGGTACCACCGGCCGGCAGGGGGACCCCAGCCCCGAGGTGGGTGGGTGTGGCAGGGCCACAGGCCCTGAGGACATGGGCCCACCAGCTGCCTGAGGAGTTAGAGCAGGAGCCCCAGGACTTGGACCCCCAGGGGAGTCTGGCCTCACCGGAGGAGCCGTTCTGGAACATGGCAGGCCCAAGCCAGAAGGCTGCAGCTCCAGCGGTGGACGCCCACAGCGTGGTAAGCCAGTGGCCGCCCCCCGGCCCCCTCTCCTTGCTGCCCTTTCTCGGTCATCCCCAGGCCACTCCCTTTTTGGCCATTCTTCCTTGGCCATACCCCAGCTGCCCTTCATTGGCCACCTCCCCCTAACTATCCCTCCTCAACCTCATACCCCCCCACCTCTCCCCCCGCCCTTGGACCCTTGTGGCTGGGGTGCATCTCTCCCCTTATTTCTGCTGCTAACCTCTGCTAACAGATGGCTTGGGTGGTGCCAAATTTGATGCTGCTTCTGTATGGGAGCCTTCAAGGCTTTTGTGCCTAAGGTTGAGGTTATCCCCGTGGGGAAAGGGGGACCTTGGTGCCTGGGTCTAAGTTAGGCCAGGCACAAAGACTCAGGCTGACTCTGGTCCAGTGGATTGGAATGTCTAAATGGAAACTTCGTTGATGAACTTTTAAGCTGGGTGGGAATAAACAGTTCTTGCTAGGTAGACTGGGAACACTTAGGGGCCCATGGATCCAGGAAATTTATTTTGAGAATAGGGCTTAATTATTTGTTTTGTTTGGTTTTCTTTTTAAGTAGAAGTTTTTTCTTCTTGTGGGAAGTCTTTTTTTTTTTTTAAGACCTTATTTATTTGTCAGCGCACAAGCAGGGGGAGAAGCAGGCTTCCTGCTGAGCAGGGAGCCCGATGTGGGACTCAATCCCAGGACCCTGGGATCGTGACCTGAGCCGAAGGCAGACACTTAACCGACTGAGCCACCCAGGCGTCCTTGGTCTTGATTATAATAGCCCAAGATTGTCAATAATCTAAATGCCTACCACTAGGGAATTAATACCTTATGTTCTAGTCCTACATTAGAGTACCCTGAAAGTGGTTTGTTTTTTTTTTTTTTACTTATCTCTTTAGTATTGATATGGAATGACCCTCAAGACATACTACTAATTGAACAGAGCCAAGGGTAGAATAGGGTTCATAGTTTGCTACCATATGCGTATGGATGGGGGGAGTCTGTGATGTATGACTGCTTGTCTGTGGATAAAATGTCTCCGAAAGCACACAGAGGAGTGCACACCTGTGAGGAGGGCCCTGGGTGGCTGGGGATGCAGGTGAGGGGAGACAGCTTACCGCATGCCTTTATACTTCTCGAGTTTTTAATCATGTGAAGGTATTGCCTATTCAGAAACATAAACAAGATAAATAAAGGGCTTAATTTAGATTAATTTTATTCTTCTCCCCTCTCTATCTGTCTTTCTCTCTGTCCCCCATTCTCACGTCCTGTTTCTCCAGTTCACCTTTGGGGCCTCAGAGAGCTACGTCAATAGCTTGGATTACTTACTGCAGGAGAAGCGGTGAGTGTGGCAAGAGGTCCATCGTGGGGTCTTAATTCTGTAGGGTTGGCAGCGATTTCAGGGGGTTGTTCTCTTAAGACTCCTAGCACATTCCCATCAGGATCGAGCAGCCTACCATACTCCTACACAGCGTGTCTCCTGGAGCGCCCTGTGTGCTCTGATTAATAGTGAGCGTGGGGTACAGTAGTCAGGTCAAAGGGGGGGTCATCTGGAAGGCAGAAAGCCCCAGACCTCTGCCACATACAGAGCCCTCGTTCAGGGGGGCTCATGAACCTTGGTTTGGTGTGGGTGGGATGCAGGGGGAATCCCTTGCTCTCTTCTGCCCAATTCATGCCCATGTGGGGGCCTCTTGGCTCCCATTCAAGCATTCCGTGGAAGAGAAGGGGAAAAGTCAGATGGCTTTGACAGAGGTGTACAGCCTGAGCATTGCCATGCCGGTGGTGTGGGCAAGTAAAGCTCATCACGGCACCCAGCATTGGGAGATTCTTGCTCTGCCGGGTCCTGCGCCAGGCACTGGATATATGGAGGTGATAGTGCAGCCCTTCTCGCCTGGAGATGTATCCTAATGCTTCTAGTATTTCCCATGCTGTGAAGTGGCTGTGGAGGGGCCTGGAATACTGGCACCTCAGGTAACCTGAGGGTCAGAAAAGGCTCCCCACAGGTATCCTTATCTTTGAACCTAGGAGAATTAGGAGATGGGGGGGGCATCATGGGTGACCACACATGTGAAGGTGGGTATGACAGATATTCTGGTGGCCGACTAGAACTGGAATTCTCGGCACTGGGGAGTGGGGGTTGGGGGTTGACATAGCAGGAGGTGCAGCCAAAATGTGAACCGGAGCTGGGTCACGAGAGGCCTCATGCACACAAGGTTGAGTTGGGAGAATTTTAAGTGGGTAGTGATGTGTTTCCTGCTGTGTTTCAGAGATCACTTAGGTTGCAATTATGGAGAATGGATGGGAATGGGGAGAGAGGAAGTAGGGTGAACGGTGATGGGGTGGGGCCCTGGGAGGAGGGCAGTTGGGGCTATGATGAGTCTGCTGACCTGGGTGGCTGGGACTCTGGAGCCTGCGTGGAAGGGAATTCAGACCTAGACATGTGGCTTCGGAGAGGCCCGGGCACATTCAGCTGAAAATCATTCAGTTGTCACTGGCTGGGAGGATCCAAACTCTGGATGGCAGCCTGGACTGGAGGTAAAGTCTTTAAGAACTGAGGACCTTTGGGCAAAGGCAGGGCAAGCACCTGGAAGGGCAGGACAATGGCTGGGGAAGCTCCAAGGCTGTTGAGGGGCCAAGGATCAAGAAGGCTGAAGGATGGACTGTGCCTGCTCAGGGGTTTGGTGTGGTTCGGGCAGGAGGGAGGTGAGGGAGTCAGGATTCCAGCAAGATAATGGTTGGCATGCAGGGCTGTGGTGGGGACGGGCCTCTGAGGCTGGAGACCAAAGGGTAGGGAGAGAAGGAAATGAGCAGGACCTGGAAGGGCTGCCCTTGGGGCCGGAAAGGCAGGCCGTGTGTCAGGGGTTCCGGGAGCCATGAGCCTGGGGGCCTCTCCAGGTCAGTGTCGCCAGACCCTGGGAGGAAGAGAAGGGGCTAGGCACGGGCCTGGATATGTCAAAAAGTGGGCACATCCTAAACAAGGTACACAAAGGCAGGTTTGAAGTTGTGTGGTGAAAATTTTCCTTCAGGCCTGTATGCTCCTGTCCGCTTAACCAGAGACGGCACAGGTGATGCGATGTGATGCCTCTCCCCCGCCCCATCCAAGTCCATGTTGAGGGCCTTTACGCAGGATTGCGGGGAAGTGTCCCTTTTCCTAGGCCTTGACATGTTCACAGGGTCTGCAGCCCAGTGCCTGGGTCACTTGACTGGGGACAGTGCTGACCTCTGTTACTGGCTTTCTGCTCCCTGCAGGGACCAAGCTCTGGAGCGAGAGCAGGTGCTTCTGCAGCACCACCCCCACCTCAGCTCCCTGGATCTGGATGAAGTGCCTCTCAAACCTGAGCACAGGTGGGGGACGTGGGCACGAGACGGGTAAGGGCCTGGCCACTTGTGGGGTCTGGGGGGTGGGGTAGTCCACGCACCTGCCCTCAAGGCAAAGGATTTAAGTGTTGACTGGCTCTCATTTTCAGACAGAATTTCAACCAGCAATCTGTATTTATAAGTTCTCGAGCTGCCTCCTTTTCCTAAACCAACATTCAAGAAAACCCCTACATTCATTCATTCATTGATTACAGAAATATTGGATCATCTACTGTGCGTCGGGGTTCAGTGTGGGCCTTTGAGAACGCAGAGATAGGAAAACCCGGCCTACTTGGCCCCAGTTGTCCACCCAAATGTGTGGAACCAGGTCACTTGGGGGAGGTAACTCTACAAAACCACAATCTAAGAGAAAACTGTCTTTAAAGGGGAGAATATGGCCATGTGACATTTTTCATCCCCCTGCCCCGGGGAAAAGAAGGTTGCTTTTGTCAGTGCTGTCATGAGGGGAGTGGGGTGTCTGCTGGCCATGATCTAACTGGGCCATTGGCTGGAGGGAGGGCTGGTCTCATCTGTACTGCAGTGTCTCAGAGATGCCGAGAGACCACAGTTGAATCCATCATCAGGGTACCCTGTTAGCCGTCCATCTATCCAACTGTCTGGCCAGCCAGCCAACCAGCAAACATCTACTGAGTCCAACTTTGTACCAGGCTCTGTTACAGACTCTGGGGATACAGCAAAAGCAAAACCAGACAGAAATGTCTGTCCTCCTAAGCGAAGAGAGGTAACAAGTGCTCAGGAGAGAGGATAAAGAAGAGGGGGGGCAGAAGGAGCGTGGAAGGCCTGCGAGATTGCGCATAAGGGTCAGGGAAGACCTCGATGAGCAGGTGGCTGGCCTCTAGCAGGGCATTGTGAAGGAGACGAGAGGCAGCTCTGGGGGCCCTGCAGGGAGAGCATAGCGGCAGCCATGGAGGGGAGGGCTGGGGAGAGGAGGTCCGGGAGGCCAGGAGTGGGCTCGACGCATCAGCTTCTCCTCTGTGAGCTAGCCGCCAGTGCGCTGAACAGGACCCTCTGCCGCCATGTCAAGGATAAACTGGGGAGCCTGGGGCGGGGTGGGGGGGTGCAAGGGCAGAAGAAAGGAGACAGGGGCAAATGAGCCATAGCAGTTACCCTGAGAAGTAAGAGGCTGGGAGGGAGGGAGGGTGGGTGGTAAGGAGTAGGCACAGTCTGGATATATTTTTAGGCTAGAACTGACAGGATTTGTTGATGAACTGGATGGAGTGTATGGGAGAAAGAGGGGAATCAAGGGGGACCCTCCCAGGATTTGGGCCTGAGCACCTGGAAGGTTGGAGTTGTCTAATTAAACTGGGGAAGACTAAGTGACGAAGACTGCGGTGGGGGCACTTGTGAGGTCAAGAGTTCATTTGGGGGATCCCAGGGGCGAGACCAAGGAGACGGCTTGGATCCCCTCTTCTGGAGAGGCAGGCCCAGGAGTCACCAAGGTGACGTTTAAAGCCACAAACTGGATGAGCTCACCTGGAGAGCAAGTTTAGAGAGAAAACGGGCCCAAGGGGGGGGCAATGTAGAGGTCACGGTGACCTTGACAGGAGCGGCTCTGGTGGAGTGCCGGGGGTGAACCTGACTGGAACAGGCCCATAGGGGAACAGGAGGAGAGTTCGAAAGAGAAAAATGTGCAGTTGCTGAAGGGGGAAGTAGAGTCAGGAGAGATCTTTCTGTATGTCTCCCTTCCTTTTCTTTCTTTTAACTGGTTCCTCCCTTGCTTCCTTCCCTCCTTCCTTCCCTTTCTCCCTCAGGAACCAAGTGCGCCAGAGGGGCTGGGGTGGACTGCAAGGGATGAGGTCACCTCAGCCATGTGGCTGAGGGCATGTTGGTCAACATGCAGTAGATCATCTGCCTGTCCAGACTTGGGCTTTTTTTTCTGTCAGCCTGAGTTAGGTTATTAAGCATTGGTCTAAGCAGTGATAGGTCAAGTTTTTGTGCACACTCTAAGTTCGCATTCTGCTTCCACTTACTAAGGGAATGTTGAGTGACAACCTACAGACTTCTTTGGGGCTTCCATTTTAGGACCCCCAAATGGTTTACATTGTTTTTATTGCCCAGAGATGGTTATGAACATCACTGTGGCTGGCTGTTTGCTTTTTTTCCCCTCAAGTTTTTCTGATAACCATCTCTGGACTCGATCAGGGATTAGCAAACTCTGTATTTGTAAATAGTAAATATTTTAGGCTTTGAGGACCATGCAGTCTCTGTGGCAACAACCACTCAACTCTGCTCTTGTAACAGGGAAGCTCCCATAGACAATACATAAGTGAATAAACATGCCTGTGTTGCAATAACACCTCGTTTACAGCAATGGGCAGGGGTTGGCCGCAGACGGCAGTTTGCTGACCAGTGGCCTTGGTTAGGAGGACCCCAGCCTCCTCACTGATACTTTCCACTGTGAACACCTGTGAGTGTTCAGGTTGGAACAGCCACCCCACATAGGTGGAGAGCTGCTAACATGCTGCCTAGAGGCCCAGAGAACGGGTGCCATGCAGGGCGCACAGCAAACCCAGAAGGGCGGATGTGGAGACAGAATGGAAGCACTGGGTTTGGGCTAAAGGCCTCTTTGGACAAGGGTGCCTTGGTGGCATCATAAGTGATAAAAACAGTTGTCTAAGTTGGGACTCGTGGATTTGTTTCCAGGTTTCCTACTCAATGGATACATAACCTTGGAATGAAACCTTTTAAACCCTCTTTAAAATCTCAGTAGCGGGGTGCCTGGGTGGCTCAGATGGTTAAGTGTCTGCCTTGGGCTCAGGTCATGATCTCTCCAGGTCCTGGGATCAAGCCCCACAACGGGCTCCCAGCTCAGTGGGGAGCCTGCTTCTGCCTCTCCCCCTGCTTGTACTCTCTCTGCCTCTCTCAAAGGAATAAATAAAAACTCTTAAAAAAATAAAATCTCGGGAGCAAGAATAACTATTTTAGCTCTTGATGTTTCTACTGAGTGCATCCAGACTTCTGGAAGTCATGGCTTGGGTGTTTTGAAATTCCCCACAGAAGAAAGGGAGTTATCTGGGGAACCAGCTTAAGCCAGGTGTCCCAGGCTCTGAAATCACCGATGATTTTCTTTTTTCTTTTTTTTTTTTAAAGATTTTATTTATTTATTTGAGAGAGAGAGAATGAGAGATAGAGAGCACGAGAGGAAAGAGGGTCAGAGGGAGAAGTAGACTCCCTGCTGAGCAGGGAGCCCGATGTGGGACTCGATCTCAGGACTCCAGGATCATGACCTGAGCCAAAGGCAGTCGCTTAACCAACTGAGCCACCCAGGCGCCCCACCGATGATTTTCTGGGCACGTGACATTTTCAAGTAGTACTTTGAGAAAGCCTTTTTGACAACAGCCACTTTGAGGTGGTGGTTTTGATGTGGGATCATTTTGATGGGACAGTTCGACCCTCTGCTTCAAAGAAAATTACTCACTGATCACACAAAACCAACAGCTTTTTCTGTCCCTGAATGGGGCCAAGGAGGGATGTGGATCTGGAAGGGTTGAGGCTGCGGCTGGGGGCCAGCCACCATCTGCCAGAGCAGTTGTCTGTGACCAGGAGTCACACGCCGGCCGTGGGTGCCCGCCGTAGAAGAGACCCACGAGCACCCAGAGCCCAGCATCCCCTCGTGCTCTAAGGACTGGCTTGCAGTTTGGATGGATGCCATCCTACGTTCTGTACTTCTTAAAGTTAAAAGACCGTATGTGTGTGCTGGGGCAGGGGACGGGGGAATATTTCAACCCTAACATCATCCTTTATCCTCACTTTGGGGCTGCACAGGAAATCCCCAATTAGACGTGGAAGAGTCATCTCAGAACTCTTAATAATGCACATACGTTATATTTAGTATCACAAAAGTCCCTTTGTGTGATGGTTTGGGGGACAAGACTAAGACCCTTTTACAGATGAGCCTAATTCCTACAGACTTAATAATTTGCACCCTTTCCTTAATATACGAGCAACATAAGCCATAGATCCTCAAAAGCTGAAATGGCAAAGAAATGAATAAAACAGAAGAATGTTTTCCCGTCTGTGTGGTGGTTTGCACCGGCCGCTTGCAAAAACCCACAGGAGCAGAAGCTCCCCGGTGTTTTCATGTCATTTCCGTACCGTGTGCCATTTCACCCTCCGGACGGCCCTGGGATGAGCATCGGCACCTGTTCTCGGGTCGGTGGCCAGAAAGCGAGACAAACTTCCTTGGGCCAGTGGTGGGCTGCTAGCTGCCCTGCCTCCAGCACCCACTGCTTACGTCCCAGACCCCGACAGGAGCCCTGGGTGCTGCTCCCCACTCCGAGTTCACCGTCCTCTGGTGACAGGAGGGGATGCAGTGCTTGCAGCTTGTTTTCTTGTGCTGTTTTTATTGTTGTCAAATGTGTGTTCTGTCTCTACAAAATCAAGCAGAACACAGTTGTTTGAAGTAAACAGGAAATGTCTCTTCTGCCCCCTCCTCCAAATCCTATCCCCTAGGGATGACTTCAGCTCATAGCTGGGCACGTCAGATGTGTGGGGGGTGTTGCATGTTTCTAAGAATGTGTGTGTGCATACTTCTGTGTATACCTGTACACACACATGCACACACACACTTCCTCTTCTGAAACTTGGCTGTTTCCACCCACCAGTGCACTGTGGCCGGTCTGTCATGATGCAAAGATTTACTTTGTTCTTAGGAATTGTCTTAACTGCCTCCCTTTTCCCCACTCCCTCTTAAATGGGTCATTCAATCCTGACAATTTTTACCCCTCCCAGTAGAGTTGGAATGTATCCCTTCTTCTCTCTGTTCCTTCCCTGTCCAGGGGACCCAGCTCTGATCTACTAATCGGACTCACAAGGCAGGGCCTGGGCATCTGGGCATCCCTGGGAAGTCCTCCTGATCACAAGAGCTTGAGGACTGGTGTCCCAGAAGAAGCATCCAGGCTCCTTCCTTGTCTGGATGCCCTCCCTGACCCTTGTGTGGATGCCCTCCCTGACCCTGGCCACACCCAGAGCTTCTCTCCTCCGCCCCTGGCAGACCGTGTAGGCAGTTTTGTGGTCAGCCCATTTGCTGAAGGCTACTGTGGTGATTTATTTACCCTTCTCCTAGACATGCAATGGCAGCCCACGCCTGACTCATCCTTCAGCACCTGGCACCCACATATCGTGGGTGCTCAGTGAAAGTTTGAGCTGAACAAAGGCAGTGGGCGGTGCTGAGTTTGGGAGCAGGACTTCTGGCTCCTGAACTAAAGCCCTGAGGAAGGGGCTGGGATGCAGGACGCAGAGTGGGATGGGGAGGAGCTCCTGAGTCTGCATCTCGTAGGCTCCTCCTTTACCAGCAGGTGGCGCTGTCCTCCCCCCCAGTCTTTTCCCCATCAGGCCACGGTTGCAAGGCAGGGGCACCATCTGGCTTTCCCTGGCCTCCCTCCAGGCTGCAGACCAGGTGTGCCTGCTGACATGTGCCTCTCCGGCTCCTTGCTTTGCCAGGATGCTGGTGGAGAGGTTCTCCGTGTCACTGCAGGTCATCCCACCAGTACATCCCGGGGAGACTGTGTTTCTACCCAGGCGTCAGCCCCTGCACTGCCTCCTGGACCGTTCACAGCTGAAGCCACGTAGCCACCTGGAAGAACTGTTCGTCAGGTAAATGTCGGCATGGGAGGGCCAGGCCTGGTCCCTCATGGAGCCCAATGATAAGGACTGGCCCAAATGAGGAAATTCAAAGCTGTGCTTGAGCCAGTTTGGATATGTCAGCTTTCAAGACTATGGGATGAAATAGTCCCACATGTCTGCTTATAATATTTAATTTGCTGATTTGGTTGTACATACTTTTAAAAAGCCCTACATTGTCACGAATATTAGGTCGGTTGTATATTTATATATTCATATTGCTTTTTCCTCCCCCACACCCCAGTTTCATGGAACAACTGTAGTCAGACTCACCATTACATGCCTTTGGGGTGATGTCTCCCTTAACACTGGAGCAGCTTTCTGGGCCATCCAGCAGTTTTCCAGAGCACGTCATCGTCACTTCCATCTGCTCATTGGAGACACCACCCTTCTTCCGTCCATGTGTGATGCTAACACTGAAAAGTTTGTCCCCAGCCCTAAGTGCACACTGTGTAACATTAGGACATTAGGCTCGACTCCGTGGAAGGAAATTTACGTTCATTATCGCACAGCCACGGGCTATGTTGCTTTTTAAGGGGATTTTAAAAGCTTGACCACAATCACATCCAACAGTTGCAGTTGTGAGTTCATCTATCTGAGATTAAGAGAGAAAGCCCGCAGGACTCAGTGCAGCTGACCACTCATGCTCATGAGGCCGACGCCCTGCTGGGCCTTGGTGGGCAAGGGGGATGGGGAGGAGGCTACGGGGCCAGCACCAGCCGGTGGGGAGCACAGAGGTTGAACTATCTCTGGTCTCTTGAAAGCAGGAGTCTTGTGATGGTTTCCAGCTATTCAGGGCTTCCTTGGTCTGTTTCACTAATTCTAAAGCCATCTCATATCACGGGAAGTTTCAAGTATAGATAGCGCAGTGTAATGATTCCCCATATAGTCATCACTCAGCTTCGGCAACCAGCAGCTCAAAGCCAATCCTGTTCCATCTCTACCCCTGCCCACTAACATTATCCCCTCAGGATTATTTTTAAGCAAATCCCAGACACATTTAATTGAATCTGTAAGTACTTCAGTGTCTGTCTCTAAAAGATAGGACTCTATCCTTAGATATAACTTCAATGCCATTATTCCACCTAAAAATTACAAATCCTTCATACCATTGCTATCAGTCGGTGTTCAGATTTCCCCAGTCGTCCTCTAAATGTGTATTCTCTGTTGTTCAAATCAGGATCTGAACAAGGCCCTAACGTCACCATTAGTCGTAATGTGAGTGGTGAGAGAACATTGCATTGCATTGATGCCTCAACATATTTAACCATTTTCCTCAGCATATATGTTACTTCCAGCTTTTTTATAAGCGATGTGGTAGAGAACATCTTCATACACAGATACTTGTCTGGAGCGTAGCCCCGGAAGCGACGTGCGGGGACTGGACGTGAGCGTCTGCATATTGGTAAAGGCTGCCGTCGCCACGCTGAGAAGGTGTCTCATAAAGGGATGATGAAAAGGGGAAAAAAGAAACCAGGGTTGAAGAGAGAAGGACAGCGGCGTTGGAGAAAGGGGAGGGGCGGGGAAGGAACCGGAGAGAGGAAGGCGTCTCGCAGAGCTGCCTCAGCCGGCCACGGTCTGTGTGACAGCAGGGTTCCTGCCCCAGACTGGACGGCCGGCAGGAAGTGTTTGACAGACGACAGGGCCCCCGCAGCGGTGACCTGGGGGCCCGAGCAGCCCTGCCAAATAGGGCCAGGTGGCCGGCCCGCTCCCCTGGGGTGAGGAATTCAGACCCTCCTCCCTCAAGTATGCTAATGAGGCACCGGAGAGGCGGCCTCGCCGGCCGGGAGCCCAGCCCAGACCCTTTCTGGAGGAATGCCCGCCGCCTTCCACATGGTCCAGTCGGGGGGGCCCCTGCTACGCAGTGGGTAAGGGCCACTTCCTGAAGGTCACCATTTAGCCTTGGGGTCACTCTTATTTCCTGTTTGTGCCAAGGACCTCAAGCCCAGACACAAGAGAGGGAAATAGTGGTTCAATAATTACCCCGTTGTGTTCAGCCGGAAGTGTGAAGACGAAGGGAAAACAGAAGGTTACTTGATCTCTCAAGAGGCAGTAGGGTTCAGTGTTTTGCCGTACAAAAAATTAAAACTTTGTGAGATTACAGGTAACTTTTATTTTCCTTATTATACTCTTCTGTATTTTATGACTCCGTCTCATTTTTAACAGGGGTTTTAGGGGGAAAATGTGAATGCGAGTTTTAAGAACCCCCTCTGGAAATAGATCCAGGTCTCCTTGCCCGGCTGGGAGGAGGGGTGTCATCTTCCCGCTCTACAAAGTGGGTGCTCTTGGCATGGGGCGCAGGGCAGGTGCGGGAGGCCTCGGCGCCTGGGCTCGGGGCCTCGTCCTCCCGGGCCGCACCTACACAGGTTTCTGTGCAAGAACACGTCTCCTGGAGCCCACAGCCCCGGGATCAGAGATGGCCTGGCCGGCCCGCCCTCATTCATCACCCAGCTGGATGTGTGACCTCAGGTCAGTTCCCTGGAACCAAAGTCACATGCATTTATGACAGAAGCTGGTACCAAGGGCTGAACTTTTTCCTCCCTTGACAGCCGTTCAAAAGGAAATCCGATCCCCAAGTGGAGAAGCATTGGGACCTATGCCCACATGCAGCTCAGAGGCCAGTGATCTCCCTGGGAAGGGTGGAGATTGCCTGCTGAATGATTCATGGTCCTCTCTGGGCCCCCACAGAGTGCGCTGGAGTGTGTGTGTGTGGGGGGGGGGTGTCCGCCACTGTTCTGGAGAGGTGTTCACCGTGTGTGGTCAGGGAGCCCTTCCTCCAGGAACACGTCTGCAGGCAGGAGGCAGCGTGGGGGTCTGAGCCGTGTGGATGTCCATGTGCTTGTGCACTGGGTCTCCCTGAGGCTGAACTCGAGCTCCGGTTTTGCCAGGACCTTTTCCTCTTCCTGGTGTTGCTGGCAGGCGGATCCGAGGACCTCCTGGGGGGGCGGGGGGAGTAGGAGTTTCCCTCAGGACCAGCCAAACAGTCCCTGGCTTCACGCAGGACGGAAATCAGATGTGAGCCAGCAGAAGGTAAAAAGCAGAGTTTAGTGAAAATCTATAGAGACAGAGACGGAGTGTCCAGACAGTGGGAAAGGAAAAGAGCAGGAAGTCTCATCTTTGTTCAGGGTCGGAGTTTTTTACTGAGGATGGTGGCCTCATGTATGTGTCTCCTCAGACATCCAGGAACCAGTTAAAACAAAGACGAGGGCCCAGGTGTTATTCCTTGGAGCCAGGGGGTCTTCGCGTCCAGATGTCCAGTCCTCGGTCTGAAATACGCATATGATGGCTTCCTCCCCTCCTTCTCACCTGGTCCTTCCTTAGGTGGTATCTATTCTAGAGATCATTAACTCCTTGTCCCTTACAAGGAAGACATAGGCTATTTGCATTACCAGGCATGGGTAAAGTGAGGTGGGGGTGCAGGTCCTAGCAAGAACAGAAACAGGATAAGAAGCAAAAGAGAAAAAAATGCTTTTTTTTCTCATGGGGTCCCTTCTGTCTCCCCGTCTCACTGGCAGGCCAGGGTTGAGGCCCGGGTGAAATCAGCAGTTAACAGAGAGTGTGGACGGAGCTGAAGGCCCAACTGGCTCCAACTGCCCCCCAAAATAAAGAGCCAGCAGAAGCAGCCAGCCGGGGTGTTGCTGGGATCCCTGGACTCCTGACCCGAAGGGTGCTCACTCATCTTTAAACAAAGGAAAGAGAAAAAGAGGAGGAACACGGATGAAAGCTCTGACCATTATTCCTTTCTGTTCTCCCTAAACTTGCATTTGAGGAACTTGGCAAAGACACAGAAACTGATACCATATAAATAACTACACTTGGTGCTTAGCCCTCTGCCATCACTTGGGATTCCCAAGGCATTTGGATCCTTTGCCCTCCAGGACTGCTGCCCAAAAAATAGATGAAGATAGCCTAGCGGAATGTTGACTCGGGCATCATCGGGAACACACAGTCCAAGTAGAAGGTCACAGCTCTGCCCAAGAGCCCAACCTGCTGACCCAAGCTGGCCTGTGTTTTGTTTGGATTCCCCTTTGGGGCAAATCCCCATCTCCTCGCCGCGGGGGCTGGGGGTTAGCAGTGTTCTGACCGTGACGGTCTCTCATCCCAGGTGGGAACCTCTCACTGGGATCCTCAGAGTGGACAGCTGGGCTTCTCGCCCAGCCAGGCCTGCGTGGCATTTGCTGCCCAGAAGGCTCTGTCCCTCCCCTTCTCACTCCCGGGTCCTCTGACATTCTCAGGATGGCTTCTGACTTAGCATTGGCTTTGCAAAAGGCAAAGCACCCAGTTGGACCCCATGTCTGCACTCTTGGCTTGTGGACATAAAGTGGGTTTTTGCAAACTTAACAAGTGGTTCTGTAACCTAAGGTTTTTGAGCTTTCAGTACACATACCTACTTTGCCCACCCTTTTCCTCCCGGCTTCCCCTCCTGCTGCAGATCAGGGCGATGTCTGTGCAATCAGCCTTGTCCCTTGCATTGAAGGTGAGAAGGCTCGTGGTTTCCCTGAGGTGAAGCAGCACTCGGCTTGGGATCCAGCAGCCTGCAGAGATTCCTTGCATCTTATGGAGCTCTAAGCACAGAATTCCTTGAAAGCCATTTGCTTCAAGGCGCAGCTGGACCCCTCCTGCCTATCTCTTGCTCCTTGCCTTACAGGCCAAACCTCCCTGGGCAGCAATGAACTTGAAGGCAGACTAATCTTTTCTCTGGCAGAAACTGAGCTGCAAGGCTGGCATAGCCAAAAGGAGACATTGCAACGGAAGGGTAGCTCTCCCTCGGAGCAGCAGTTGGAAATGTGTTGATCTGAGCCCACAGGGGCTTGTACAATCAGTTCTCCTACTGAGAAAGTGGTGGGGTGCCCCCCTGAGCGGAATGCTAGAGCCGGAGTCTCCTTAGAATCCCTGGAGCACCAGCCTCCTTGCCGCATGGCCCCTGGCCAAGACCTGCCAGTCCGTGAGGTCTTCCAGGCATTGTTCGCTGGGGTATTGTCTGCCCTCGGGGTGCTGTGCTTGAACCGCGCATGCATTGCAGGGTCAGCCCATGAAGTGTCCGTGTGGCGGAGCACGTGAATTAGAGCAGAGTGCGCCAGCAGCCCTGGGGTGCACACGTGTTCGTATGCACAAATAAAGGTCTATTTTAGAGCAGTCAGCTTCACAGACCTAGAAACAAAGCCGCTTTCTCCTCTGAACTTAAATAATTTGGAAAAAAATATACAATTTGTAAACTGCCTGGACATACTCAAGGAGACAGCAACTTGGCTCAGAGGAGAATCTTTGTTTTGGAGCATTCTGTTCCTGGCAGATTAAAATATGTCCTTTTTAAAAAGGAGAAGAAGAGGTTGGGCTGACTGAAGAAATTTCTATCTAGAGTCATGACTTTAAACGCTGTCTGAAATGTTCTTTGTGTGGATTTGGCCGTTAAAAAAAAAAAAAGAACAGACCTGAAATTACTTTTTTCATTTCCTAGAATCCCTATTCATTGCCTTAGGAACATCGTCTAGAACAAGAGAGCAGAGGAACATTCACAAAATGCAGAGAGAGTAGGAGCTGCCTTCCCCGAACCCAGCCTCCCTGCAGGTAACCAGGAAGGGTGATGAAGTCCAGCCAGCCACTCTGAAGTGACTCCTGCAGCACCTTCCACCACAGGCCCTACGACCACATGAATCATTTCAACTCCTTTTACAGGGACCTGGGATCCTGCCTGCCCAGACGGTCTAGGGGGCGGGCGGCCGAGGACTCAAAGCTAGGCTCCTCTGCATGCTGGCCCTTTGATTCTGAGAGCTCAGGGCAGCAGGGAGAGGCCCAGCAGGGCCCCGTTGTGAGGGGAACCGCAGGGTAGGAGCACAGGCAGGAGGCGAGTCTCGGTGCCACCCCCCGCCCCTCAACACTGCCCCTCCCACGGTTTCTGAAGAATCCTCTGCAGCACCCTTGTTTGTTCTTTCCTTACCAGAACGGCTCCATCTTGGGCCCCTTTCTGTTATTTTCCCGTCTTCTCAGGTGTCCTTTGTGTTGGAAAAACAACAAGACGGGGCAGAAACGCTCTGTGTAACCAGACCCCAGACTCGGGCCCCATATGGGCCCCGCAGGTAATTCCGCCTGCCTGTGGCGGCCCGGGGCCCTGGGCTAAGAGCCGTGACTCCCGGGTTCTCTCCTCACTTCCCCACAGGGTCCTCCTGCGACCTCCGTAAATCCCTTCGTGTCCCCCTCCGCCACGGCGAAAGGGCAAAACGTACTGTCCAGTCGTGTGCTTAAAACACTGAGAGATGTTCACGGAGATCAAGTGATTCTGGCGATGGCATGGGCTGTTTTTCCTTCGGACAGCTTCTGGCGTCAGGGGCTCTAAGCGTTTGTGTCCCTAGCAGGTGCTGTCATGATTCTGGCGTCCAGTGAGGCTGCAAATATGGAACACCCACCCCCCGGTTTTACTGAGACAGGCGTGTTGAGGAAAGGCTGCCAGGCTGCCTGCGTGGAGGGCCCCCCACCCACCCCCGACCTCACTCCTCTGCCTCCGCAGCTGCCCGCTGGCCCAGCAGCTCTCCTTCCTGCGCACGGGCCTCCTGAGCAACCTCTACCTGCACACCCCCGACTGCCCTGTGGCCCTGCTGCAGTGGCTCTTCCAGGTGAGGTGCACGGACCTGCCACTAGGTGGCGGGAGCACGCTGGCCCGACAGCACGGGCAGGGCTGCTGAGGGGGAGGATGGGCACGTCCCTCTTCTGACTTTGGGTGCTGTGGGGTGTGTCCCAGCCCAGGGCAAAAGGAGGGAGGGAGGCAACCTAGGATGCCCCCGTCGTCACGGAGTTCAGGGACCAGCCCATGATCTCGCTCCACTCCCCACCAGAGCGTGTGCCTCATGCCGTGTGGCCTGTGTCACCAGAATCCCTCTCTGTGACTCCCCGCTACTCAGCAGGTGCTTCCGTTTTGTCCAGGCTGCTCCTCGCTCGCTACTCCCAAGTCACAGGTCCGGGCCCTTGCAGCGCCCTTGGAAGTGTGAAGGGCCCTCATGAATTTACAGCTGGGTGTGTCCCGGGTGTTTGAGCGTTTGCCTCTCTCCGTGGAGTCATAGGGGGCCTGGAAAAGAAGTCTAGAACAGCTGCCTCTGTCTTCCCCTTTCTTCTCTTGCCTGGGCTGCTGGAACGTTTTGCCTTGGGGCAACATGCATTCTGCCCTGGGCTTAAAACCTCCACCCTGAGAAAGAGCAGCCCGCATAGCCCAGGGACCAACTGCTGTCATCTGAACACAAGGCATGAGGATGCTGGCCTTGGCCCCCACCCAGAGCCACCCCTGCCTGGGGACGGGCCGGTCACAAGTTCCAGCTGGTCTCATTCCTGCCGGCTGGGGCCTGGACCCCAGCTGTAAATTAGAGCCACCATGCAGGGTGGATTGTTCTAGGAACTCCTCAGCCTAGGCAGACTGGCTGCCTTCCAGAAAAGGCCCTCCAGCTCTCTCCTCTCCCGTCTGGGATCCTTCCCGTGGTGCCCCTCCCTGCCCCAGAGGAAAAAGTCCCACTCAGCTCCTGGGGCCGAGTGTGGCTGCTCCCCTCGCCCCTCCCCCAGGCCTGATGGGACTGGCAGGCCTCGGACAGGAACAGTGCTACCATTCTTCTCTGCCCCTAGTCAGTGCAGCTTCTCTCGGCTCCTTGCACAGTATATGGCCAGATGCACAATCAGGCATTGGGAGGCACAAAGGGCCCATCTGAGACGTCGCCCACAGAGGGTCCTCGTGTGACCCTGACACAGCATGGAGTGCCTTCCCTGTCAGTCACCCCGGGAGCTGGGGGTGAGCCCTGCCCGGCTCTGCTGGCTCTTCTCCCACCACCGTCACCTCAGCAGGGGGCCATAGAACAGAGGACCCAGCCCTGTGGCTAGACAGACGCTAGGTGGGAGTTCCAGCTCTGCCACGTACTACCCTGCGACCTTGGACAAGTTGTTTAATGCCAGCTCTCTGCCTCAGTTTCTTTGTAAACTGGGACCGACAGTCCCAGGTGAAGACTGAGGAATTCCTGTGACCTGCCTTGTCCATAAGGCCCAGGGCCTGGACATCATGGGAAAGGGATGATGTTAGCGCAAAGGCTCTGGTTCTCCACCTTCAGGAAGGAGAAACGAAAGCTCCTCCTCCCCCTACGGCTGAAGCCAGATAAGTGAAAAGGGTGCACTTGGCCTTGGGAGCCTTCTGGGCAAGACTCTGCCCAACATCTTTGTCTCTGGAGGGGGAAGGAGGAGCAGGGCACCTGAGGTCTTATAGGCCTTAGCGGGATGGACTCTTTCTATTTCACTTTGGAGGTTTTGCCACTTGGAACATATCTTCCTATAGTAACAGTGGCATTCATTCATTCATTCATTCATTCATTCATTCATTCATTCTCAGGCATGGGTCAAGTTCCTGCTACATAGTAAGCTCTAGGGATAGAAAGATCTTGGAAATGGTGTCCCAGGTAAATGTGGCCACAGAATGTGGCCGTGGTGCTCAACCGACTTCAGAACCTCACATTGTTAGTGGGGAGTATGGAAATCCACGGGGGCTGCCTGAAACTGTTGGTGGGATTCTCCTAAAGGTTCCTGGGATCCAAGGGCAGGGATATGGCTGGGCCTCAGGAAAAGCTAGAATCAGGACGGGGAAGGTTTAGGGTTTGAGGACAGGCCTCAGTTTCTCTCTATTCACCAGGCTCCGTGGCCAAGTTAATTCCCAGGAAGAAGAGTCTTATTGGCCCAACAAAGGTTAAGTGACAACCCCCCTCCCCAGCCCAATCAAAAGCAGCTAAGTGAGTAGGGTCACCGGGCTGCTGGGGGCTCATATATATGCCTGGGGTTGATCTGAGAGCTAGGGGATAGGTGAGCTAGGTTTCTCCAACCCCACTCATTCAGCTTTTTTTTTGGGAAGAACATCCTGAGTTCTCATGGAAACTAGATCCTGCTGCCCACCACCCTCCCTCCTCCTAGTGGAGTGTATGGTGGCCCCTGGGCGAACAGGCTTTGGCCTTAGTGCTCAGGAATTACTAAGCTCGTCACTGGAGCCCTAGTGTGTACCTGGAGCAAGGTGAGCCTTGGCTGGGGAGGGTAGACAAAAGCGGGTAGCATATGCTGTCAGTGAATGTATATTCTTGTTGGAAAATTATAAGTATGAAGAAGTTACAAGAAGCTATGAGAGGAAGAGGAAGCAGAGTTCTGGTATCATAGGCCTGGTCCTTGGTGGTTTCCTGGAGGTTCCCTGGGGAGGGCTCCTAAGAACCACACCTCCGGCCGAGGGAGAGCACCTGGGAGAAGGAGAAGCTGAGTGGCAGAGCAAATTCAACAGGCCACAGTCAGTTCTGCAGGTACTCTGGAAACGGGGTGACGTTTTAGAGTTGTCCCAGTTGAGGCAAGGGGTCCAGGCCTTCGGACTCCGGTATTGGCCAGGCCAGACATCAGGCTAAGGCTGCACTCAGAGAGGGGGTGTGACCTTGACTGAGGCGCTCCCTCCCTGCAAGGTCAATGCCAGAGAGGGACTTGGCTCAGAGCTCTCAGCAAGCAACAGCCCCTGGAGATGAGAGCTTCAGGCCTGAAGAGGGGATGTGCCCAGAGTGTCCACACAACAGACTTTGCTCAGCACTCTCAGAAGGATGGTATAATGTGCAGCATGGCTGACCACGGGCAGGAACAGAGCTGCCAAGGCGCTGCCCCACCTCTAAGGCCTGGCCTCCTCTGTGTGTCCCCAGGCTGGATGGCCCTGGGCGGGGGCGGGGGGAGGGTGCTGTCCCATTGTTCATCTCCATGTCATGTTCTCTCCACATTGCAAATCCCCAGCCTGATGACCTTCAGACTCAAGGAGGATTCAGGTAAAGATCCCAGTGAGTTTGAGTCAGATGGGTGACCTGCACCCCCCACCAGGTTATTTGAGGATCCGTACTCAGTACCAAGTCCTTCCCAGAGCCAGTGGCCTAAAATGACTGTAAGTTAAGGCAGTGACCTGGAAAGGATGTAAGAATCATGGAGAGTAGCTGACTTGTCATCGTCCCGCTAAGTGTACTTAGTGCTTTCGAGCTATGTCTCTTCCTCACACTGGCCTGTCCTGGAGGGGCATGGCTGTGGCCACAGGGAATGAGGGGCAGAAGGACCAAGACTCTCATACAGGGAGGTGGACAGAGTTTCAAGTCACATAGGCTTGGGATGGAATCCTGGCTTTGCTGCTTACTGGCTCTGTGACCCTGGGGAGGTTGCTTGACCCCTCTGAGCGTGATTTCCTCATCTGTAAAATGTCAGTAAGGGCAATATCCTTCTACCATGTGGACTTGTGAGGGTTAAATGGGATTTATTTAATATGGAGTAATGAAGGTTTACTACCCTTATACCATACTACTATTATGCCAGATAACCTAAACTGCTTTTTTTTTTTCTCTCCTCCTAGCTGTTGACATGGCCTCCAGAAACTTCTTCAGGAGCGTTTAGTCTCCTATGGGATCTCAGCATGGATGGGCTCTTCCATCAGTCTGGTCAGTACTAGGGAGCAGGGTGGAGACCTGAGCCCCGAGTACCCAAGCTCGAGAGCCTGCATAGTACACAGCTCTCAGCAGCCATGGAGTCCAGCATGCAGGAGAGGTGCTGGTGGGGACATTACGTCACCACAACATGGAGACGTCAGGCCATCTTTGGCTCTGGCTCCAGTATTAGTAAAAAGCTGAGCCAACAGACTCCTTGGCACCTTGATCTGGCTTCAGATCCATGTCACTGTGGCCAAGTCCAGGCTGACCTCACAGACTCTTGGGATCCCAGAACAGTCTGGAAGGTGAGTTTTCTGGATTTAAGGGGACAGCTTTGCCTCTGAGTTCTTCCTGAGAGCCCCAGTTTGCTCAGGTGGGTTTCAGGAACATCTGCATCAAATCAGGGAAGCTCCTTGTGTTGGAGTCACAAAAGGGGAAGGCCTTGAAGCTGTGCCCCCACCAGCAGTCCCTCTTGGCTCCTAGGACATCGGAGAAGCCCCTAAGTTTGGTCCCGGCAAAAGTGAGAGCCTTGAGTCTATACCTTGGTCCTGGCATTGAAGGGGTGATTTAAGTCATCTTTATAGTTGAGGATGTTCAGAGTTCCACAGAGCAATCAATTTTCTCTTTAGTGGCTGTGCCCTTACCAGGCTGTCCTCATTTGGTACCTGAACCTAGACACTTGGGCACTGAAAAATATCATGTAGCCAGTGGAAAGGTGCTTACGGCAGACAAGGAGAGGGACTCACAAGTGTCTAGACCCCACCTTTGCCCACAGCTGTGGTCTGCCCACCCTCCCCCCCAACTAAAACTCAAAAGCATGTAGCTTGGAAGGCCAGTCATGGACCCACGATGCACCCTTAAGCCCCTGCCTCACCAGCCCTTCAGATTTCTGCTTTTGTGCCTCTTGTACTTCAGGAGTTGGCCGAGCCGAGGCCCATCTGTCAAATGAGAATATTCCAGACTCCTCCTGCTCCCCCCTCCCCCACCCTTCACCCCTCCATCTGCACGCCGGGACCCTTGTAACTGAGGTCTTCTGAATAGCGCTAGTCCCGGCATCCCCATCCTTTTCATAACCTCTGCCCCTGCAGCCTGGGCTGCCCTTTCTTGAGCCTCTGGGGCCTCCTCTGCGACATGCCTGCCCTTTTGGGGAACAGAGGCCTTCCTTGTCCTGCTCTTCTCCTCCATGCAATGGTATGTGTCTCCTCCCGCAGGGGCAGAGGGGACGTCCCACTCTTCTCTGCTTCTTGCCACCTTGTGCCTGATTTGCCCTCCCATCAGGAGGGGCCAGGAACCTGCTCTGGAGTTCTCGGCCAGGTCAGCTCTGGCTACGGAACGTTTCTCATGGCATCACCTGAGAGCCTAGCCCAGGCTTCTCTTTCTCTCCCAGTGGAATAGAGACTGGCCTAGAGAATTCCGTGCCCAAGGTCGGGATCTTGACTGATTTGGGGAAAGTCAAAGGCCGGGTCCGCAAAAGAACCGGAAGCAGGACTTAAACATATGTGTACACCCACATTCAGAGTAGCATTGGTCACAATAGCCAAAAGGTGGAAGTAACCCATATGTCACTGGAAGACATGGTGGATAAGCAAAACATGGTATGCACATGCAGCAGAGTACAATTCAGTGTTAGAAAGAAGGGAAATTCTGACACATGTTACAATATGGATGAACTTTGAGGCCCTTGCGCTAAGTGAATAAGCCAGACACAAAAGGACAAATACTTTCCACTTATGGGAAATACCTATAGGTGTCAAATTCATAAAGACAGAAGGTAGAATGGTGGTTGCCAGGACCCAGGGGAAGAGACAATGGAGAGTTGGTGTTTAATGGGTACGAAGTTTCAGTTTGGGAGGATGAGAAAGTTCTGGAGATGGACAGTGGTGACGGTTGTTCAACAATGGGGGTGTACTTAACACCAATGAACTACGTATTTCAAAATGGTTAAGAACATAAAGAAAACTTTATGTTATGTGTTTTTTACCAAAATTAAAAACAAGTTTAGAGACAAGAACTAGGGACCAGCAGAGAACCTACCAAAAGCTGGAACTACAAATCAACCACCAGTTCAAGAAGCATGTGCAAGGTTAAGTTAGATCCAGGATTGATATAAAAGGAAGTCATGCTGCTCAGGATTTGTTAGCAACTTGAGGTGCTCTGCAGGTCCCTGTCCTCTGTGGGACACAGCCCCCTGAGGCAGAACCTTGAGCTGCCTTCCCTCCCATTTAGAACTATAATTGCTGTATGTGTTTTCAGGTTGCCTGGCCTTTCAGAGATTTGCACGTGTGTACAGTTCCATCCTTTCCTGGAGTCTGTGGTACTGGCTGCTTTTCCCAGACTATCCTGGGGACGGTTTTACACTACTACCTTTATCCCAGCATGCCTCCCAAGTAAAGGGGGAGCTAAGGCGGGCCCAGGCTTCAGAGAGTGGACTGTCACAGGTGCACTCTGGGTCACTGGGGCTGAGGGCTGAACAGAGTTCAGGTCCAGGGGTCGCTGGAGTTTTGGGGTATGGTGGATACTGTTTTCCTAGATTAAGAAGAAGCCCTGGTTACCAGTTAGAGGTCCTTGGTGAGCTTGGAGAATGGGGTATTACAGAACACTGACATTTTTCACCGCAGGGGGTGTTTATGCATTTATTTAGAAAACATGCATTGAGTGTGTCCTGTATTCGGTACCTTGCTAGACGGCAGAGGGAGATACAGGGATGAATCAGGTGTGGTTCCTGCCCTCAGAAGGCTGACAGCCAAGTGGGAGGGGATGAAATGGGCAATTACAACAGGAGATGGACACAGCTACAAACCTGGGAATTCCAAAGAGAGGAAGATTACCTCTAGCCAGGTGGGGTGCGGGGTGCGGGGAGGCCGGAGACAGGGAGGGCTTTGTAGGAGAGAGGGCAGTTGATTCATCTCTCAAAAGATGTATAAGGCAGGGATTGCAAACTCACTTGCCTGTGGGGACCGAGCGAGTCCATGACTAGAGAGCTCTTGCCTTGTCTAAGAGGCTAGTTGGTCTGGTCTTGCCAGATCTCTCCGTTTTCAAGAGAAGCCATGTTTTAGTTAGGATGTACTTTGGCCATAAGTAACAATTAAGAGAATTAAATACCCAATTAAGGAAGTTTATTATCTCACATGACAAGAAATCCAGAGGTGAGGGCTGCTGTGGTATATTCAGCAGATCTGCAGTATCAGGGCTCTGGCTTAGCTTCTATGTCTCCCTTCTCACTACTACTCCTCAAGGTTGCAAAATGGCTGCCATAACTCCAAGCATCATCACGTTCTCATGACACAGCAGTTCAAGGCAGAAAGAAGGGTGGAGGAGACGAGGTCATTCCTTCTTGTACTTTTCTCTCTTTTTGTCAGGACACTCCATTTTGTTTCATTAGACAGAACTGGGTCACAGGTTTTAGAGGACACTTGCCATGTTTTCTGACTGTCTGGTGCCCTTGGACACCCTGGCTATGTTTGAAGAATTTTTAGCCTCATGATCCTAACCCTCCAGGGTAGAATCCTGGAGACTCACTCTTCCAGCCTTCTTTCAAATACTTGAATTTTTAGTTTTGGATTTTCCAGTTAGTTCTGTATAATTTTTTAAATAGTTTCTATTTCTCTACTGGGATTTCTTATTTGTTCATTCAATATGAGCATATTTTCATTTACCACTTTGAGCATAGCTGTAAAACCTGCTTTAAAATCCTTGTCTGTAATTATAACATCTGGATCATCTAATTCATTAACATGGAAAATTAAGTATGAAAGTGAACATTTATTTAGAATGAGTAGAGAAATCATACTAAATACTGTACCTTGGGAAGTTCAGGTCCCATTCTCCTGGATATCTTTAGGATATTTTCCAGAAATGTTCATGTAGAAATGCCCACTGGTTGTAGCCTGCTTCCCTACCTAACCTAGAAATTCACAGGGGGGCCGTGCAAGGGAGGGCCCCAGAACTTAAGCTTCATTAACTTTACAGTCAATTGGCTTAAGACACGTAATAAACTGTTTTCTGTTCAAATAGCTAGAGCTTTTCTCTGTTGCCTGTGGTTCGGAGCTCTGACTGCTCCAGTAGCACCCCAGACCAATCCCTGCAGAGGTAAGTGGGATGACATGGTTCATCCACTGAGGTGGACTGGGTTCCCTTAACGGGGAGGAAGGGGAGCATGGTTGTTGGATCAGCAGCCAGCAGAATCTGTCTTAGCCAGAATACCGACATTTATGTGAAATCTCCTCTTGGTGACTGATTCAGTTAAAAGACCAAACCCCCAAGCCCCCGCTGTGAACCCATCTGCAGGCTCTATTCGACTGTAGATGGAATACAGCCCCACTGGTTTGCAGCCCTGGGGGTAGGATTCAGGTGTGGAGAGATGCAAGGGAAGCAGGAAGCAGTGGAAACAAAGACAAGGAGGAGGGGAGAATAGGACTTCCTTAAAGGGGGCAGAGTAGGGGATGTTTGGGGCCAGATCTTAGAGGACAGTGGAGGCCATTGTAGACACAGTGAAGCTTTATTAATATTTATTAAGACTGGTACAGAATTGGAGTTGTTTAGATGTAATTCACACACCATGTAATTCACCCTTCTAAAGTGTATGATTCAATATGATTAATAGAGTTGCTCAACTAAAATCACTATCTAATAATTCCAGAACATTTTCATCACCCTAGAAAAAAAAACTCATACCCATCAGTGGTCATTTCCCACACCCCTCCTCCCAGCACCTGCAAACCCCTAATCTACATTCTTTCTCCATGAACTTGCTTATTCTGGACATTTCATATAACTGGAATTATACAATATGCAACCTTTGGGGTTTTTTTTTAAGATTTTATTCATTTGAGGACTCCTGGGTGGCTCAGTCGTTAAGCGTCTGCCTTCGGCTTAGGTCGTGATCCCAGAGTCCTGGGATCAAGCCCCGCTTCGGGCTCCCTGCTCAGAGGGGAGCTTGCTTCTCTTCCTGCTCCCCCTGCTTGTGCTCACTCGCTCTCTCTCAAATGAGAGAGAGAGCAAGCGAGCAAAAG